CAAATTTTTTACCCAAAAAAAGAAAAGAAACTTTTATGGCGACAATTTTCAATTCAATTCCTTTACATCATGTGTGGATCTTCCTTTCCATAAATTAAATTAATTTAGAGTAAATTATCGATTGTATAAAAAATAAAAAATAAAAACACCAGAAAGGGCGGAGCATGGGGAAGACTCTAGCTAAGCTAAATGACTTCATTCAATGAAGACAGCTTGTTTGCCAATTTTGCTTTTGTAACATCGTTGAGGTGAATTAAGGGGTTATGTATGACATAGACACTTCACGAGTTGACTTGGCTGACTTGGAATGTTCTGGTTTATCAAGTAAGCTTGTTTGCCAATTTTGCTTTTGTGCAGCCATGGACACCAAAACCAGCCAAAAGTTTTTGTTGTCTGTTATTTTTTTATGCCTGTATATGAAAACCCATGTTTGCCTTGCAGCTGACACCATCACTGCAAACCAACCTCTCTCTGGCGATCAAACCATTGTCTCTGCAGGTGGGGTTTTTGAGCTGGGTTTCTTCAAACCAGGTAATTCTTCAAACTACTACATAGGCATCTGGTACAAGAAAGTTTCTGTTAGGACCGTAGTGTGGGTGGCAAATAGGGAACAGCCAATCTCTGATAGATTTTCTTCAGTGTTGAAAATATCAGATGGTAATTTACTTCTCTTCAGTAAGTCCAAAGGTTCAGTTTGGTCCACAAGTGCGACCTCCACCACCACTACCTCAGCCTCAGGTTCTGTAGAAGCAGTTCTTTTAGACAATGGTAACCTTGTCTTAAGAGCTGATGGGTCTAGTGCTAGTACTAAATCAGAGCCTTTATGGCAAAGTTTTGATCATCCAGCCGATACATGGCTACCAGGAAGTAGAATCGGATTCAACAAAATTACCAAACAAAGCCAGACTCTCACTTCATGGAAGAATTCAGAGGATCCTGCACCAGGTCTTTTCTCTTTTGAGCTTGACCCAAAGCGAATCAACTCATTTATCATACAGTGGAATAGGTCTCAACAGTATTGGACTAGTGGATCATGGGATGAAAATTCAGATAAATTCAGCTTGGATCCTGAGATGACGCTTAATGATGTTTTCAATTACAGCTATGTTACAAACGAAAATGAAAGTTATTTTACCTATTCTCTTTATGATCCTAAGAGAATATCTCGATACGTGATGTATACCTCAGGGCAGATTCAGCAGCTAACATGGTTGGAGACTACCAGCACCAGGCAATGGAATTTGTTTTGGTCTAAACCAAAGGTTTATGCCTTTTGCGGACCATTCAGTAGTTACAATGAGAAATCCTTGCCTTTATGTAGTTGTTTGATGGGGTTTGAGCCAGAGTCACATAGGGATTGGAGTTTGCAGGATTATTCAGGTGGGTGCTTAAGAAAAACCACTCTGCCATGTGGGAATGCTGTCGGTGTTACTGGGACAGAAGACGGGTTTCTAGAAATGCCTAGCATGTCATTGCCTGCCAGTGTTGAAGATAAACACTATAGTATTGCTTATGCTAAGCAATGTAGATCAATCTGCTTAAGTAACTGCTCTTGCATTGCTTATGCTTACAGCAGCACTGCTGGATGTTCAATTTGGACTGGAGATCTATTTGGTCTAAAGCAACTTGCACCAGATGACGGTGATGGAAGGACTTTATACATCAGACTTGCAGCTTCTGAGTTCAAGAATCCCAAAAGTAATAAGGAACTGTTTATTGGTGTTGTGGGGAGTGACCATTACTTGGAGCCATCATTTTTAATTTGTCAACTGGATCTTTTTGATTTCTTTGCAGGTCATAAGCGCTCCCTAGTAATTGCAACAGTCTCAGCAACAGCAGGATTGCTTACAATAATTTTTTGTTATTTCTTATGGAAAAAGACTTGGGGAAAGGGAAGGTACTTTACCACTCTGTCTATCTTTCATATGTTCAGCGATACGGAGTCTAGTAATCCAAACAAAGGATGCTTTAACAATAAGACTGAACAGGAAATATGGTGCTGGAGGTGGACAGAATGACGCAGGATTACCACTCTATCGTTTAAGGAGAATTTTAGCTGCAACAAACAACTTCTCTGAAGCTAATAAACTGGGAGAGGGAGGATTTGGCCCTGTTTATAAGGTAACACTTTGATAGTCCTATCGAGCTATAAATAGGATAGTTTCTTTTATACATTTCTTAATAATTTCACTCATTACTTCTCATTTGGTTAGGTTGTAATTGTCTTAATGTGTGTCGGATTTTTCTTCCACTACAGGGGATTTTGCCTGAACTCCAAGAAGTAGCCATAAAAAGGCTGTCAAAAAAGTCGGGGCAAGGACATGAGGAGTTCATGAATGAGTTGAAGCTTATAGCCAAGCTCCAACACACCAATCTTGTTAGGCTCTTGGGTTGCTGTATTGAAAAGGAGGAAATGATACTGATTTATGAGTACATGCTGAATCGAAGTTTGGACAAATTTTTGTTTGGTATATATATGCTCATCACTGCTAAAATTAATTCTTTGATATTGTTGATTTATGAGACGTCAAATCTGATTACCTTTTTCCAAGATCTTTTCCCATGTTTTCAAAAGTGGTGTAATGCAGTATCTTTCTCTGTGTGTCAAAAATTTTATTTCAAAACAAAACGGAAAAATATTCACCTAGCTGATTATTCTCCATGGTTTGTTGAATCAGATCCGTTGGAAAAAACAAAATTAGATTGGGGTAAACGCTTTCGAATTATAGAAGGTATTGCTCAGGGACTACTTTATATCCACAAGTACTCTAGACTGAAAATCATTCACAGGGACCTTAAAGCAAGTAATGTTCTTTTGGATGGATCAATGAACCCCAAAATCTCAGACTTTGGAATGGCAAGGATTTTTGGGATGAACCAAACTGAAGCAAATACCAACAGGGTTGTTGGGACATAGTAAGAACACATGTTTTTCATCCATATACAAAACCTGATGCAAATATTAGTCATTGTTATTGCTTACTTCTCTACCGCTACTGTTAATTCATGAGCAGCGGCTACATGTCACCCGAGTATGCACTCTATGGCCATTTCTCTGAGAAACTGGATGTATTCAGCTTTGGAGTGTTGCTGTTGGAGATTGTAAGTGGAAAGAAGAATGCTTCTTTTTATCGTTTTGAAAATTCCCGAACTCTTGCGGGATGGGTAAGTATTAGAAACTATAGTTCTTTTTTTGTTCTTTTTTGAACAAGATTGATGGGTTTTGATGTTGAATCTCAATTAGGCATGGGAGTTGTGGAAAGAAGGCAGAGGAATGGAGGTGATTGATGAATCAGTAAGGGAAGCGTGTGAGCCTCATGAAGCTCTAAAGTGTATGCATGTAGGGTTTTTGTGTGTTCAAGAAGATCCAGCTGATCGGCCAACAATGTCTTCAGTTTTTCTTATGCTGCAAGGAAATGAAGCTGCATCACTTCCACTCTCCAAAGAACCTGCTTTTTCAATGCATAGGAACTACCCCCGCGCTGCTGTCGATATCCCAGCAGTTACCAGTTTCTCCAACAATGTAATCACCATAAGTATCCCAGAAGGTCGATAGAGGTTCAATTCAATAATGTTTCATTGCTTCAACACACTTGAAGTTTGATTTATGAAGGAAAATGGAAGACACTGACAAGCGTTCACAATCTGTAATGCAAAGACTTGGACCAATATCTTTTGATGGGCCAATGTCCTTCATTGGGGTTCAGAATTCATATAGGCCTAAGTTAGGTGCGTTCATAAGCCCAAGCTCAAAGAACGCATAGCCCAGGGATGGGTCAACCCGAACCTAGCCTTATTTTTATTCTTTTCTGCACATACTATCTCATTTGAGCATAGTTAGTAAAATACGGGACGAGCCATCAATGGGTTCCCACCATAGTGGCGGTCGCTTCCCCCTTTTCCCATGGCACCCTTGTTTGAATTCCAGAGTCGAACTCCAATGTAACGCAAAAAATATATATTGAACGAGTATAATGCGTATAAAATATTTTGTGTATTATTTGATAATTTTCTTGAAAAAGTATGATGTAATTTTTGGCCAGTATATAAATATTATTTGTAGTCATTTTTTCCATAATATGTATAAAATGCGGGAATAAAATGTGTATTTTTTAAAAATATTCAGAAAAATCTGTATTATTTGTGCAAATTACCTTAATACATGAATAATACAATTTCATTTTTTTTTTTAAAAACCCCGTATATTTCTATGTTCTTGAAAAGTGTACGAAAAATAGAAGTATTTTTTTTATAATAAAGAAATACATCATTCCACGTATAATATGCGAATTTAATAACTAGGCATTTGAGCAAAAGTCTCTGAATGCTTAAAACAATGCTCTACTCTAGTTGTTTTTAGTTCAATCCAATGGTTGTAATGCTAACAACTTTAATCGGCCCTACATTTCTAAAGAATTTCATAGAAGAGTTCCTCCATTTTTTCTGGGAAACATGACAACCGACCTAAAAAAACCCAAAAGACTACATTTTCTTCTTCATTTCATGTGAACACTTCGTTAACTTATATAACCGACTTCCACCCACCCAACTGGTAAAACAGCCAAAGTCAAGAAGGAAAACCGTTTCTGAAGTCTAAGATAATCCGAAATGACAATCGTACCCCCTTCGACAAGAGCGTTGAAAGTCTAATAGAAGGCAAATTCCAAACACATCAGTGCCCCTAATAGGACCAATTTTCATTATTTACATGTAATGACAAAATTACCCTTTACAAGTTTCTGAGAAACACAGGAGGCAAATAATATTGCTGCTGGCCCTTGCAGGTGTAAAGAATCAAAGCCGACCAGCAATTAACACACTGTTCCATTGCTGTCATCCACACGGGGAGACCATAACCTTCCTCTTTCCAAGATCCCCCTTCCAATTTCCACCCTCCTTCCCCCTTCCTTTCACATGGTATAAATTCATTCACTCTCATTGTTTCCCTCACAAACCCAAAAACCCAATACATCAAAAGAAACAAGAGCTAATAACAATCAATGGCAGGAGTTGGCAAGAGGGCTGTTGATGATTTTGAGGATCTGCTGCCAGAGATGGCTGACAAGCTTGGCGGGGAGGGCCTGATCAGAGAGCTGTGCAATGGGTTCCAGCTGCTGATGGACAAGGACAAAGGGGTCATTACATTGGAGAGCTTGAGGAGCAACTCTGCTCTTCTTGGTCTGCAGAATTTGAGAGAAGATGAGCTTGTGAGCATGATGAGGGAAGGTGACATGGATGGCGATGGAGCTCTCAACCAGATGGAGTTTTGCGTTCTGATGTTCAGACTCAGCCCTGAGTTGATGGAGGAATCTTGGATTTGGCTTGAACAAGCGATGCAGGGGGAGCAAGATAATAAGAGACGTCAATCTTGATCGTTTGATTTGTATTTTACTTCCATCTGTTATTCATTTTGGAACTGAAATAGTCAGGTTGAAAAATACAGAGCAATAACAAACACCTTCTTTTGGTTGTAATATTACTTGTTGGTACATATTCTTATTCGTTTCTCTGATAACTTTTCTTTCTTAGCCTTTTTTACCGGACTAGACCCGTGGACGGAATTTTTCTTTATTAAAAATCACATAAAATATCTATTTGCATGAGGAGCATGCAGAGCACTGCAGGCTGCCGCGGCATTGGATTTGCTGACTAAAATACTTAAACATTTGTCTGTTATATATGATAATGATGTGGACCAGTTAAAAATTAAAAATTTCACGACGGTGCCATGTTTCTATGGCCGGTGATGGTTCAAAATTTAAAATTTGTTCAAGGCATTTTGTTAATTTTTTTTTTCCAATAAGTTTTTTTCTTTTTTGCTACGATTCTAAAAAAAATTGAGAAGAAAGTCTTGTTTCCTGGTAAAGAAAAATGACTTGAGACGTCACCCAACCCGTAAACTATTAGTATGAGGTGATAGGTAGTAAGATCAAGAAACTTCCATTAACTAATTATATATATTTTTGGCCAGTTGTACCAAAGAAATAATAAATATATTTGGTCAGAACTTGCATATATAATATAATAAATATATATATACTATATATATTCATGGAAAAAAAAATCATAATAATAATAAATATATGTAACAACTTATTGATTTCATATCCATTTACATATATACGTATCTTCCAGGAGGCAACGAGTACTTTAGAAAAAATATATAAATATATCCTATACTATATAGTCATTCAATGAATCCAATACAAGCACTTCATCTAGACTTCAACCCTGGTTGTCACGTTGGATCCATTGCTACTTGATTGCATGCACCAAGAGGCAAATTCACTGACACTGAGGAAATTAGGAGGAACGTCGCCATATCCACAACCTTCTGCGATTGAATTTAAAAACATTTTGTGCTTTGACAAAGTAGTACTTAATAATATTGCCATTTTAAAAAAATATATTAAGGAACACAAACGGGAAAAATTCATGCACACACAGGGTACTATGGGGATTTGAACTCAGGATTACTTAGGAGCATACCAAAGGCCTAGGCCAAACCAAAACTAACACACAAAGAGAAAGTGGTTAGGTGTTAAATATAAATTTGTATAAATATAATAAATATTTTTCTGTAATTTTCTACCCTTTGTAGACACGAGTTTTCCATCCATCTATGTAGTTAGGATGTGTAACATTACGAATCACCATATTTTAAATATTGCATATAAGGTTAGGATCGGAGACACACATTTGTGACACACATTATTACACACACATTGTAGAATTAGATTAAAGCACATTCAATGGTTGTGATACTTAATGTTTTGTATTCTCTCTCCTCTGTCCTTTCTAAACTGAATTCACTTTATACTAGCTTCTTCATGAATTTTGATTTTTCAACATACAAATCTGCTTATGCTTACCAAATTGTTTGGGCTCTACATAAATTCATATGATGAGCATATACTCCATCCAATTAGCAAGGAAAATGGGCATATAAAGAAAAAGAAGAGGAAGTCAAAGAGAACGTTTGCAGTACAAGCTTAGTGAAATGCAATTTTAGCATTAGAAGAAGCCCAAGAGAATCCCATCATCTGTGACCTAATCTTTTGTCGCTGGAGAGAATATCTAGCTTTGCAGTGTCCAGTGCACAGAATCATTTCCTGCAAGGCCTTTCCATGCTTCAGCAAGAACTTTGCTAGACTCACTTCATTCTCGCACTCTAAAAACCCCTGGATCTTTACTACCGTAAGGTTTTGTAAAAACGACTTCAAGGCTTGCGTTTGCGATTCCCAGAATTTTTCTTCCTCAGAATTGGACATTTCCCACAAGTCCTTATTCCATTGCTAATATATTTATGCATCAAAATGAGAAACCAAATTAGTTAGCTGTTGAAATTGATACTAATCAGTCGGTTTATGTGTAGATTAAGAATACAATGAATGTATTAACCAAATTAATCTCAGTTATAATACTTACTCTCCTTTCAATCTTGTAATCGTTAATAATATCGAGGGTCAGAGTGTGAAGCATGGGAGAGCTCCTGAATATGCACGCCAATCCAGGGACATTGTTCTTGTTGAAACCCGTATGCAACTCCAAAGACTTGAGATTGTTGAATGGATGCAGATAAACCGCAAAATAATTACTGTTTGACAGAATCTGCAACAACAAAAAGCTATACAGATAAGTCGTGCTCATCACTGAAATGTTACATGTACATAAGAGTGACCAGACAAAATTAATGACAATACTCTCTTGTCAAACTATGAATCGAAATCACATATTCAGATAAAAATTTAGCATGATCAATGGTTCAGATTCATAGTCCAGTAGCATATATAACAAAGTAGATTAAATTTCTTTTGCTAGGCCATGTATCTCAATACATTACTTAAATTTACTTAAATTAACATGATCAATGGTTCATATTACTTAAATTGAAGTACCTCAATACATTGCGTATCGAGTGTCAAGCAATGGGCATGATAGAGTCCCATAAAAAGGTTGGACACACTCTGAAGCTTCGCCACACTAATATCTTCCTGGAGCAAAAAGAAACCAACGGAGGCCTCTTGCAGAGAGCTCAAATTGTCCAGAGAAGAGCTATCAGTAATAGCATTGTTTTCCCAAAGAATAATTCTAAGTCTTGGACCATCAATCTTCACCCAACTCTTATCAGCGTACGCATCAAAACACCTCACAATTCTCAACCTCTCCAATTTCCCACCCAAAACATCCAACCCTTGTAACTGAAAGCAGTTCTCCAGGGTCAAATCCTCAAGCGCCTTGCACCCAATCCGAAGGTACTTCAACCCGAAACAAGCGTCCAGGCTCAGTTTCTTGAGCATAGGGAAAGCAGACTCTCCGAACATGTCGCAGAGAGAAGGCTGGTTGTATAAGACAATGCGTGAAAGCGACAACGAGTGGAGGGATTTGAATCCGCTCGTCATCACAGATGAAGGGGGCAATCTGAAGCCTGGGTAGTGCGATTTCAACTTGAAAATGCGGAGAGATTCGCTGGCGATGACGCATCTAGGGAAGTTGAAATAATCCTCTGTGGCAACCTCCACGTCCAGTTCCTGCACATTGCGCCGGATGGCCAGCCGGATCAGGCCATTGAGACGGGAGAAGCTCAACCAGGAACCAAACCGAAGGATTCGAATATCGGAGTGCTTATCTCGGAGAGTCAGGACTTGCCTGATGAAGTCTGTTTCTTTGGAATTCTGAGAGAGCGATTTTGATGAAGAAGAAGAATGTGGCTTTGTTGGGGCTCGAGTGAGGGTGGTGAAGTCGAGGTCCGGGAATGAGGACCAGATAGAACGCCACCGTTTTGATAAGACGCTGGTTTGGGCTACGGTTTTGATGGGTAGGAGGAAGAGGATGTGGTGGAGAACGGCATCTGGGAGGTCACTGATGCGGTCAATGCTTCTGCTTCTGTTGCTCTTCTCGCTTTCGTCATCGTCGTCAACTTGATCCTTCTGGTTGTAGAAAATGAGGAGCTTTCTTTTCTTGGCAGCGGATCTTGTTTCCATTTTGATGATTTTGTTGGGGTTTGATCTGGTTTTTACTGGTCTTTGGGTTGAGAGATTGAGTTACGTACTTTAGGGTTTGAATGGTTCAAAGGTTTGAAGTGATCGAGGTGAGAACGGGAACAGCGTTTGAGTTTGTTTCCAAGTACGATTGCAGTATTTTTAATTAATTTTGATAAATTTTTAATCCAAGCTAATGATAATTCTACCTTATAGTTAGTTAGTTAATCATAAAAAATAATTGAAAAATAATTATTGATAAGGCCCAATTTTCAATTTTGGTTGAAATTAATATGGGATATATACTTGGCCTCTTTATTGGTTATTGCTTAAAAACGCCTACCTGTATATAAGATACCAAGTAAGCTCATCGTCGCATTGTCATGTGATGCTTTGAGCTCGAATTAGTCCAAAAAGAAACCAACACAGTTGCATTAATAAAAATAAGCTTGTCCAATTTTCACATTTGATCACAAATACATGGCACCTAAAGTGCAAACTAATAATAAATATACATTCCCCTCAAGGCAGAACATCAGAACTTAACCATTAGAATAACCATACGATTTCAACATCCTCCGATGCCCGCGGCAGTTCCTCTATTATCTTGAATTTAGCCTGCCATCCAGGTTGATTTTGTTGATAGGCTTCGCAGTTCTGCGGACAAATGTTCATTTCTTGCAAGCCTATTCCATGTTTGAGTAAAAACCTAGCAACACTTATCACAGTCTCATCTATGCCTGTAACAACGGAAAAGTCCACCTTCTTAATGTGACAAAGGAAGGAGTTCAAAGTTTGAGCTTGAGATTCCCAGAATTGCTCTTCACTCCAGAGGGCATTGTCCAACAAGATGTCGTTCCATTTCTGAAATATAATTTTATAATATGTTGTAAACCGGACATATTTTAAGAGTAAATGTGCGTAGTGTCAAGCCAGTGATTACAAGAGTGGCATTTGTTGGAAGTGTAAAAAATCAAAAAACGTAGAATTATGCCGAAAGTAACTTACATCATCCTGTGGTCTATGAATAGGACTTATCACAATTTTGAGCCTTTCGACTATGGGGGAGCTCTTGAATAAGCATGCTATACCCGGGAAATCCGATTTTCTCAAACCAGCAGTAATAATTTCCAAAGTCTTGAGGTTCACAAATGAAAATGGCAGACCACCTTCGAAATATATTTTCGATAAAATCTGCATACATAATTTATAAGCGACATAAATCCACAAAACAGATTTATATACAGATAAACGAGGCAGATACTAATTTTTTTTACAACAAATATTTGGAATTACGATTGCTGGCAGAAAATATGCTATAAGTACATTTTGTTACTCATCTATTGTTAAAGCATCCAAGAGAGCTATCAAAATGATCATGTCTCCAAACAAGAAGATAAGAAAATAGAATATGTAAACTGACCTCAATTAAGAATCTGAAAGGATATAGTAAGTTTTTCAGCTTGGGATAATGCGGAAAGAATGAACACAGTATGAGTCTTCACTTTGGCATCATTCACTGGAAGCCAGAAGTGTACCAAACCTTTCTCAGCAACCTCATCAGGCCCCAATTGAAAAGTTTGTAGATTGGGAGCGAAAATGTTAACGCAGCTATTGCTGATGACACTTGTTAAATGGAGTTTGACAGCCAATCTCTCTAGTCCCATTCCAGATATGTCCAGGCAAATTTTTTCCATTCCGCAAACTTGTAGATCCTTGAGGTTTTCACAGCAAATTCTGAGCTGATTCATGCTTCTACAAGACTCTATAGTCAGTTTCTCAAGCAAAGGAAATGAAAAATCTGAGAATAAATCACCATACACATCTGATAAATTCACGTTAGTTAGGGGACAAAGTTCAAAGCGAGAAGAGACCGCCCGCATCTCTCACATGAGAAGACGAAAACCCAAGTTCTAGTCCTAAACTTGTTGGAGGTGGCGGACCTGGACCACAAACACGTTATTCGAACAGAACTTGAGAACTAGGTTTTCAGCCACTCATGCAAACCAACAGAATTCCAATAACCCAAAAAAGCGAAAGACTTCATATCAGAGTTTTCATGGCGACCAGACAATACTGAGGATATAAACCTCATTGCGCTCATTTGGTGATAAAAAATTTGGCCAAAGCTTTTCTTTTGAAATACCTGCGATGTGAAAGGACAGACCTCGGAGAAGTCGAGAATAGGAAAGGAATCCCACAACGATCTCCACCTTTTCGATGTAAAACTTACTTGTGCGATGGATTTCATGGGTAAGAAGGAGAATATGTGGTTCGATATTTCATTGGGAAGATCACTGAATCTGTCCCTGCCTCGCCCATTGCGTTCGTTTTCTTCCTCTATCAGCCTTCTCTTCTTTGCAGCTTTGGTTTCCATGGTGTGAGCCGCAGATAGATGAAGACGGCAACTCTTTTTTATTCAATTGGGATTTTTAAAGGAGTTAGGGTTGTATGTAATTAGGATTCTAAAGAAGTTTGCAGGAACAAGGAGTCTATAAAAATAGGCAAGAATGAAAAATAGGTAGGATACTTGGACTCTTTCTTCCTTATGGCTTAAAAGCCTATAAGTAAGGTGTAGTTTCTTCTTCGCATTGTATGTGAGATGCATTGAGCTAATTAGTCATGCCAAATGGAGTTGAAATATTGTCCAGAACGAAACCAACAGTTGCATTAATGAAATAAGCTTTTCTGATTTGTACATTTTGTCACAAAGGTGTGCTTAGTTGATTAAGCATGAGAGTTTGACATCCGATTCCCGCGGGAGTTCCTCTATTATACTGATTTTATTACCAGGTACGGTATAGGCTTTGTTCACACGAATAACCGTTTCTTGCAATTCTTTTCCATGTTTAAGCAAAAACCTTGCAACGTCAACCACATGCATTGGATCTGCAACTCGAAGATTCACCAGCTTTAGGTGACAAAGGAAGGGGCTCAAAGTTTGAGCTTGAGATTGCCAGAATTGCTGTTCACTGCAGCCAGCTCTGTCCAACAAGATGTTGTTCCATCTCTGAATTTAATTTTGTAATATGTTGTAAGTCAGATAACATGCTATGTTATGGAGAGGTAAGAAGTGTGAAAAACATAAAAGTAGAATTATGACAAAATTAACTTACATCATTTGCTAATGTATGAATAGAAGATATCGCCATATTGAGTGTTTGAACAACGGGAGAGCTCTTGAATAAGCATGCTATACCCGGAACATCAGATTTGTTCAAACTAGTAACAACTTCCAAAGTCTTGAGGTTCATAAATGAATATGGTAGACCACCTTCAAAATATATTTTCGATAAAATCTGCGTAGATAATTTATAAGCGATATAAATCCAGAGAACATATTTATGGAAATTTCCAGTACCATATACATGTAGGCTATATTACATATCACCCCATAGCTATACAGTCCATTGTTACCACAGATAGATCTTAAAACAAAGGCTTTGTCCCACTTTCAATTTGGGGGTATTATGTATATTCAGCAAATAAATAGATGCAACACCAGTAACAACAAGATATGACTACTTTGCAACTTCATCTATTGTTAAAGCATCCAAGAGAGCTCGTAAATTCAAAATGATTATGCCTCCAAAGAAGTATATGAGAAAATAGAACTGACCTCAAGAATGTGAAAGGACACACTAAGGTTTTGAACTTGGGATAAGGCGGAAAGAAAATTGACTGCAGCATGAGTCTTCACTTTGCGAAATTGGACTAGTAACCGTTGATGTATGATGCCTTTCTGAGGTTTGGAAAGTTCTGGATCAAACTTTTCTCAGCAATGTCATTATGCTCCCAATGAAAAGTTAGTAGTTGGGAGCGAAAATATTAACCAAATTTTCACCTGTTTTCACTGAGACTAAAACAAATTTTGACAATCAACCTCTCTAGTTTCACACCAGATATGTCAAGGGCTACTAAAATTTTGCAAACTTGTAGATCCTTGAGGTTTGCACAGCAAATTTTGAGAGGATTCGTTCTTCTACAAAAATTTATAGTCAGTTCCTCAAGCAAAGGAAATGAAGAATCTGAAAAGAAATCACCATCCACATTTGACAAAATCACCTTAGTTAGGGACAAAGTTCTAAGTGAGCGGAGACCGCCCGTATCCCTAACATAATAAGAAGAAAACCTAGATTGTTCTTCTGAAGTTGTTTGGGATTTTGGGGGTGGGTGACATGGAAAATTAGTACTTTCCAATGTGAGACTTTTCAGTGAATCACATTCAAACAAACACTGAGGTATAGTAAAATCACACATCCCCCTCGACCAGAATTTGAGAACTAGTTTTTCAACCCTATATTTCACCAGCCAAGGAATCCAATCATGCAACCAAGCAGAATTCACATAACCCGCCAAAGCAAAAAACCTTATATTAGAGTTTTCATGGCGGCGAGACAATACTGAGGATATAAATCTCACTACTTTAAGTTGTTGATCATAAATTTGGCCAACGCTTTTGTTTTGAAAGAACGGGAAGGTGAGAGGACAGACCTCGGAGAAGTCAAGAATAGGAAAGCAAGCCCATAGACATCTCCACCTTTTCGATGTAGCACTTACTTGTGCGATGGATTTCATGGGTAAGAAGGAGAGTATGTGGCGATATTTCATCTGGAAGATCACTGAATCTGTCCCTGCGTCGCCCATTGCGTTTGTTTTCTTCCTCTATCAGCCTTCTCTTCTTTGCAGCTCTGGTTTCCATGGTTTGGGACTTGAGAAACGTGAGACGGCAACTCTTTTTTATTTAGGGGAGTATTCAATTAGGGTTGTGGATTTTAAAGAAGTCTGCAGGATGAAGGAGTTCATGAAAGTTTGAGTATAATCAAAGTTATTGAAGGAAATTTATAAAGTTGTGTATTTGGGAAGTTTAGAGTGAATTTTAGACAATAAAAAAAGAGTGTTGCTAAACGAACCTTAAAATTAATTAAGTACATCCTAATATTTTAATTAAAATGTAAAATTAACTAAATACACTTTATTTAATTACCAAAAATACCCCTGTTATACCCTAACATACTATGACACAACACCTTTTTAAACAAATATACTAACCTTTAGATTAATCTAAGGAATTCTAATAAGTCCACGTCACCAAAATTTAATTAACCTAAAACTCACTTACCATTTGCACCTTCTTAGCCAATACTTATGAAATAATAAATAAAATAAATAAAATGTTCCAGCAATAACTACCTCCTTCCCGACCCAGCCTCCTCACTGCCAGCCATGGCTGCTGCACTCACTATCTCCACTATCAGCCATGGGCCCCGCCCCTCACTCTCTTTTCTTCTCTCACACAGACCTTCCTCATTAGGTCCTACAGTTGATAACCAATTACAGTACTTGTGGGGAATTATTAGTTTAGAATTTGATAAAGTTATTCCCTATTACAGAATTGGTAAGCTTTATTTCATAGAAATCAGAATTGGATTATCACTAGAGGGTGGTTTTGGAGTTAGGAGAGATTCCTAATGATGGAGGATTTCAATTCGTAGGCCTTGTTGAGAGTCCATCATTCAAAATTCAGAGAGATAGTGACATAGAACCACATGGCTAGTGGGCAGTGGGTAAGAGCATCTCCACCCACAAGGGCTAAGTCTAGGGCAAGGGCAAGCAAGGGCTGCCACTATTCACGTGAATAGTGTTAGCCTTGCCATTTGTGGTTCCACCCATGAGGGCTAAGTCTAGGGCAAGTCTAAGGCAATTACTATTCACTTAAATTTATTTTTTATTTTTTATTCTTAAACCATTGATTTTAAAAAGCTTTTCGGATAAGATTTTCCCAAGTGTTAATATTTATCGTAAAATCCTCACCTAAAAATCAAGATAACATTTTTGGATAAAATTTTGAAATTAAATTGGTGTGGAAAGTGAATAATATTGGTATGTATGTATAGAAAAAATTTCCAGAATTTTTTGATATTTTTTTTTAAATTTTTTGATATTTTTTTCAATTTTTTTTAGCCAAAAATTGGACAACCGTTGGATTGTGCAAGATTTTTTGATCAAAGGCTCCAGAAGAAGCCACATGGCTTGTAATCATTGGGCAATGTGGGCTGGTGGGTCCAAAAGTAAAAAAAAATTGAAAATCAGCTGCTGACGTCAGCAGCCCGAGTTTTGGTGCCCAGGCAAGATTAGCCCGTGGGCTTGCCCAGGCTGGTGGGACCTACCATTTGCCCGGGCTCAGTGCTGTGCGCTGGAGCTGGAAATGGGCTGCCAGGGGGCCTTTTGCCCAGGTTTGGTGCAGCGGTGGACATGCTCTAAGGAGGTTGGGTCGGGAAGGTGTTTATGTTTGATGAGACATTATTTATTTATTTATATTTCAAAAGTATTGGATACAATGCAAATTGAGAGTTTATATCCGTTTTGGTTATTTTATCTTAGAGTAAATTAGTAATTCAATAAATAACTTGTTTAGTAGCACTTTAAATTAGGGCATGTTTACAAAAGGAGAATGAGAATGGGAGGAAAGGGAGTGATTTTCAGTTCAAGTCAATCCCTTGTTTACTAACACTCTAGGAAGACAGCATGGACCCCCCATAAAATTAGTAATGTGATTACTGATTTTGGAGGAATGAGATTACTGATGAGGGATGTGGTATTGGAGAAGTGTGAACAGGAATCAACTTTTCATACCAAAACTACTCTCATATTTTTTTAAGATAGCACTAAACTACCCCCCCCCCCTTCTCTCTCACATCACCATCTCTGCAGGCCCTCCCTCTCTCTCTCTCTCTCTCTCTCTCTCTCTCTCTCTCTCTCTCTCTCTCTCTCTCATGGCCATATTCTTCTTCTATTGCAAATCTTGTTTTTTTTTCCTTTTTTGTTATTGAATGTTGCATGCAACAAAATATTATATTGAATTTTTACATTCTATCTATAATTTTATGTATTTAGACATATTGAAAATAAATAATTAAACCTATAAAATTTGATTATTTTTTATAAATATGAAATTAAATTCATTAGAAAAATTATGTTGCTAGTTGAACAAAATAAATTTTTTTTGTGTAAGGGCATTTCGGTAATCAAATTGGTTTTGATTTCAATTATTGACATTTGTAAGCGGTTTTAATGAGATTTCTTTTTATTTTCATTCCATTTTTTGACCGTTAGTAAACAACTTAATTGAAATGCATGACTCCAATTCTTGTTTATCTAAAGTCCTGACTAGTAAACATACCCTTAACAAATATAAAGCGAATGCCAAATTTATGAATTGATAATATGTGCGAAATGACAACACCATGTGGGACTGAGGAAATAAAACTTAATTAGTCAACGTGCTTAACAAAAATTAAAACTTAATTCGTGTTGAGATTTACGAGTCCATGCCTATGGAAATTGTTAGTATTGTCTCACATTGAAAGTTAAGGGACTTTTCATAAAAATAAAAATAAAAAAAGTTAAGGGACTTCTTATGAGTTTATAAGGAGTTGGGCTACTCCCCTATTGCCAAATGATTTTGGAGTGGAAGCTCAGGGTCCGTTTGGTATCCTACTTGGATCCAATTTTATAAACTCAAAAATACATTTTAAGTCCAAAACCACAAAAACTTGTTTGGTAGTCCCATTTTTAAAAACCTAAACCCAAAAAATGTAAAAACACCCCCTTTAATGAAAACAAAAAAAGTGAGATTTTACTCTTTTCTTCTCTCTCTCTCTCTCTCTCTCTCTCTAACCATCAACTGAGTCAACGACGTAGTCTCCGTCTCACTCTAACCATCGACTGAGTCAGTGACGGAGGAGGCTCCATCGAATTCATCCCCGGATTAGATAGGCGAGATCGAGACCATTCTGATGAAAGACAACGATGTCAACAGCCCAGATTTTATCATCGGAGACGGCGGCTTTGGCCCAGATATCGTCGATGACGGTGGCTTTGGCCAGATCCAGTCGGCGACAGCGGCAACCCTAATTTTTGTTGGTTTATCAGATAAAGAGAGAGAGGTAGAGATAGGGGTCCTCAACTTCATCTATGTTTTTTTTCAATTAAAAATAATTAATTTGAACAAATTTTAAGATCTTAAAAATAGGTATGAAGTTCAATACCAAACAAGTTTTTAGATCTTAAATTTTGTATTTGAAAACTCATGTTTTTTTTTAAAGAATCATAGTTTTTGAGTTCACTTTTTTGAGTAAGATACCAAATGTGCCCTCAACTTCCTTCATGTTATCAGAGTGGGTTTGACCACCTGTGAAGTCCAACGGGCCCTTCCTTTATAATTTAGACTATCACTTGTATTATAAAATATAAAAACTAAAAACTAAAAAAACCTTTCCAAAATTTATAATTGATAATATCTTTGCCACATTCCCTCTCTATTGCTGAAAGTTAATTATCTTACAAAATATGAATGTTGAAGTTTTGTAATTTCGGCCCCTTGCAACACAAACGAGAAACATTCCAGCAGTCATGCAATTTTTATGAATAAATAATAAGATGGGAAGGAAGGGCTTTCACCCAACAATTTAGGAGCAACTTATTTTAGTTTTAAAAATCTACACCTTGCAAGTATTGTAAAAGGAAATACCAAATACGCATCGTTTTCCTTGTTTGAGATTTCTTAGAGCTTGAGATAAATTGGTTCATTTAACTGCTCTTCAGAGTTTCTCTTCTGAGAGTAAGCAAAACGATATTAAGCAACATACATAGAACATCAAAACTACATATCAGCAGTTAAGTATGAGGTTTTGACATCAGTTGATCCCCGAGAGAGTCCCTCTATTATACCAATCTTATCCTTCCAAGCTGCTACATCAGAGGCTTTGTAGTACTTCGGAGTAATAATAATCATTTCCTGCAAGTTCTTTCCATGTTCAAGCAAGAACCTTGCTATGCTAATCACACCCTCATGCGCCATCTTTTGGAAAACCCTAATCTTCACCACCTTCAGGTGGCATAGGAAGGGACTTAGAGTTTGAGCTTGAGCATCCCAGAATTGCTCTTCAGTGCAGTGGCCATTGTCCAACAAATTGATGTTCCATTTCTGAATTACAATTTACAATTAATATGTTTGTGAGGCAGAGATATATTTATATATATATATATATATATATATATATATATATATACAAAGAGCTTTCATTGAGGGATCCCTCAAATAATATTTAAGGGACACCCTACTTTGCATTGTATTTCACTAATCCAAACTGTCTATTTTGTAGATATTCACTCAAAGATCATCTCTTCAACATATATAAAAGACATGTAAATATGTGTAGGACCTAATTAAAAAGTGTAAACAACATATACAAAAGAAGAAGTATGCCAAAACTTACATTATTGCCTGGCGCACAATAAGACTTTATTATCTCAATTCCAAGAGTGTGGACTACTGGAGAGCTCTTGAATAAGCATGCTATACCTGGGATGTGAGATTTGCTCCAACTTGTATCAATTTGTAAGCTCTTGAGGTTTATAAATGAATATGGCAGACCACCGAATTCAAAATATCTTTTTGATAAAATCTGCATAGATAAGTAAGCAGCATAAATCCACAGAACAAATTTTTGGAAGTTCCCAGTACAATATACATATCGATTATAAATCATATATCTAGCTAGCTAGGCAAAATCATAAATTTTTACCACATATTTGATAAGTTTCATGAAAGAAGAAAGTTTCAGACAATGTAAGAATTGTTACAAAATGTGCGGCTGCTAATGCTTTTATATACAGTCAAAGAAATTCAAGGGCAAAGTATATTCTCTATCCTTTGTCAAAGATGCTTGCTAAGCTGCTGCCAGATTGGTGCTGGGTGTGCTGATCACTCTCAAGATAAACATAGGTGTGTCCAGTAATCATTGAGGTGTGTTATTAATATTCATCTTTAACAAATTAAAAATATGTGCATCCAAAACAAGCTAGTAGATTAAAGAAAACAGATAGGTAAACTCACCTCAAAAATTTCGAAGGATAGCCTAAGGTTTTGAACTTGGGATATTGCGGAAAAAAGATTTACTGTACTATGAATCTTAATTCCTTTGACAGTGAGCGGATAATTTATGTCAGCTTTCCGGAGGATCGGAAAGCTCTGGATCAAACATTTCCCAGAAAAGTAGTTACATGACCAATAAAAAGTTTGTAGATTGGGAGCAAAAATGTTAACACAGCATTCTCCGAAACACTGGGTTAATTTCAAAGTCTCTAGTCTCATTCCAGATATGTCCACGCTATTCAACTTGCTGACACTGAAAACTTGTAGATCTTTAAGGTTTGGACAACAAATTTCGAGATGAGGCTTTCCAACACAAGAGCATATAGTCAATTTCTCAAGGAAAGGGAATGAAGAATCTGAAAATAAATCACCATCCGAGAAATCCACGCCAGTTAGAGACAAAGTGTGAAGCTTGCGGAGACCGCTGGTACCCTTAACATAAGAAAACCAAAACGGATGCTGCCATCGGTATAGATTTCTTGGAGTTCTGGGTTCATATCTAAAACTGCCTGTCAATGTGAGACTCCTCAGTGAATCACACTCCAATACAGAAGGCAAATCAAACGCGTGGGGACCGAACCAAATATGGAGAACAAGTTCTTGAACCCTGTGCTTCACCAGCAAAGGGATCCAATCATGAAACCATTGAGTTTTCAGATAACCCTCCAAACGAAAAAACTTTATATTAGAGTTTTCATGGCGATGAGACAATACTGAAGATACTATTCTTTTAACTTGTTCATCATAATCTTCCCTCGCCTTAGACTCCTTAATCATCCAACCATGAGAAAGCTCGTAGAAGTCGAGGATAGGAAAAGAAGCCCATAGATATCTCCATTTTTGAGATAAAGCACTTGTTCTTGCAACAGATTTGGTAGGTAAGAAGGAGAGTATGTGGTGCGCTATATCATCTGGAAGATCGCTCAACCTGTCCCTGCCTCGTCCGTTGGGTTTGTTTTCTTCCTCAATCAGCCTTCTTTTCTTTGCAGCTCTGGTTTCCATGGCTTAGGGCAACCCCATAAAGAGACGGCAACTTCTTCTTTATTTTATTTACCCTTTGCTTTACCAAAGAAATTTTATTGGAAGTCAGCAAGAATGAACGAAGTTTGGGGCCTTCGGCGTGTAACTATAGTTTTGGGCCTTTTGGGTCCCTTTGTAACCATTTTTTTTTTAAATATGGTTATTAACAAAACAAAACATACCAGATCTTATAACATGAACTGCATACTTCAAAATGGATTCTGAATAAATTTCCGTTGGATTTGATCTCTCAACTTTAAGAGTTAGCATTAGCATCTCCAAAAGGAAACGTCAAATTTGAATACCATGAGACTTTGAATAAAAGAGTGGAGTTTGAACAACGTTTGAGCGAAAATTCTACAATCTGAACTCCTGATTTTATGAATTCATAACATCATTGTCAAATTTCCTCTATGTTGTTTGGAAGTTAATACTTTTCTTACACAACAAGAATGATTCAGCCCCTTTGCAACACAAACCAGAAACATTCCCAACTTTAGTTTGAAAAATGTACTACTTGCAATTATTGTAAAGGGAAAACCAAAATTGCATCGCCTTCCTTGTTTGAGATTTGGCAGCTTGAGATAACCTAATTAGCAATTAAGTATGAGAATTTGACATTAGTTGATCCCTGAGGGAGTCCCTCTCTTATACCAATGTCATCCTTCGTCCAAGCAGCTGTTATATCAACTGGAATATAGTAGTCTTTGTATTTTTGTAGAACAAAAATTATTTCTTGCAAGTCCCTTCCATGTTCCAGCAGAAACCTTGCGATGTTAATCACACCCTCATGCTTCATATCTTTGAGATTCTGAATTTTCACCACCTTTAGGTGACATAGGAAGGGACTCAGACTTTGAGCTTGAGCTTCCCAGAATTGCTCTCCACTTTTTAGATAAAGCCAGCAACCTATTTTAGTTTTAACAATCCTACAACTTGCAAGTATATTGTAAAAGGAAAATATCGAATGTGCATCGCTTGAGATAAGTTGGTTCGTTTAACTTCTCTCTCTTCTGAGAGTAAAGCAAAAAGATAGTGGTGCATACATTACTTCAAAACCTAATCAGCATTTTACGCACGAGATTTTGACATTAGCCGATCCCCGAGGAAGTCCCTCTATTACAACAATAATTTTATTCTTCCAACCAGGTACACAGTAGGCTTGGGGATATTCCGGAGCAATAATCATTTCTTGCAAGTTCTTTCCATGTTCAAGCAAGAACCTTACCATGTTAATCGCACGCTCGTGGTCAATGTCTCTGCTGGGAACCCAAATTTTCACTACCTCTAGGTGACATAGGAGGGGATTCAGAGTTTGAGCTTGAGCTTCCCAGAATTGCTCTTCAGTGTAGCGGCCATTGAACAAATAATTGTCCCATTTCTGAAATTAAAATTTACAATATGTTTGTGAGTCAGATTATACACTTATATATATATATATAAAGTAAATATTCGAAGGTTCGAATCAATAGACCTGTATAAAACTTATACTACGAAAATACTACACAAAAGAAAGTGGCTCAGCCAGGCAGAAACAAGTGAACCAGAATAAAGAAAAAACTGCTTCAAGCGCATCTGTACGTATAGTAGTACTTTAGAAAGCACATCTACCGGCACGTAAAGAAATAAAAGAAAGCTATTGGAATCTCGATAATTGAACGAAGAAGCTTAGAAATTTCGACGAACGTCCAGAAATGAAGCAAAATCCCTTGTATTAGACCATGTCTCCGGAAACTGCTTTATTATTCTACCGATCTGGGCTGTCCAATCCGTACTAGTTAAGAAGTTTGAAGAACATAAAATAAGAAATATGCCAAAACTTACATCACTGTCTGGTCCACGAGAAGAGTATATCCGAATTCCGAGTTTGTGGACAACCGGGGAGCTCTTGAATAAGCATGCTATACCTGGGATATCAGATTTGCTCAAACTGGTACTAATATATAAGGTCTTGAGGTTCTTGAATGAACATGGTAGACCTCCGAGTTCAAAATATATATTTGATAAAATCTGCACACATAAGTAAGCAGCATAAAAATATATTTTACCACATATTGATCTTTAAAAAAATTGAAATTATTGTTTCTCCAAACAAGTAGTTAAAGAAAACAGAAAGCTAAACTCACCTTAAAAATCTGATGGTATAGACTAAGGTCTTGAACTTGGGAGAATGCGGAAAAAAGATTGACAGCACACTGAGTCTTTATTCTAGTGAATGGGAAGTGATAATTTATTTGAGCTGTCCGGAGGATCGGAAAGCTCTGAATCAAAAATTTCACAGCAAAGTTGCTACCTACCCAACAAAAACTTTGTAGATTGGGAGCAAAAACATTAACACAAGATTCATTGACACGCATATCTTTGAAGCAATTGTTGATTTTCAAAGTCTCTAGACTCATTCCAGATATGTCCAGGCTATTCATCCTCCGGATTCTGTAAATTTGTAGATCTTTGACCTTCAGGCAACATATTTTGAGATGAATTATTCCAACACAATCGTCTATAGTCAATTTCTCAAGGAAAGGGAATGAAGAATCCGAAAATAAATCATCTTCCGAGAATTCCACGCCAGTTAGAGACAAAGTGTGAAGGTTGGGGAGACCGCTGGTGGCCTTAACATAAGAAGATGAAAACCGAAGGAAAGGGCATTTGCCTTCCAATGTGAAACTCCTCAGTGAATCACACTGCAATAAGGGAGGAGGAAAATCAACCATGCCAGTACCGGACAAGATATGGAGCACAAGTTCTTCAACCTTATGCTTCACCAGCCAAGGAATCCAATCATGCAACCATTGAGCTTTCAGATAACCCTTAAAACCAAAAAACTTTATATTAGAGTTTTCATGGCGGCGAGACAGTACTGCAGATATTATATCCTCAGTCGCTATAATGTCTGTCATCCAAGGATCATAAACCTGGGAGAAGTTGAGGATAGGAAAACAAGCCCATAAATATCTCCACCTTTTAGATAAAACACTCGTTCTTGCAACGGATTTGGTAGTAGGTAAGAAGGAGAGTAGCCGGTGCGCTATATCATCTGGGAGATCGCTCAACCTGTCCCTGCCTCCTCCAATATTGCGTTTGTTTTCTTCCTCTATCAGCCTTCTCTTCTTTGCAGCTCTGGTTTCCATGGTCTAGGTTAAGACCTGATAAGCGGCAGCTTCCTCTTTATTTTGTTCACCTTTTGCTTTACCAAAGAAATTTTGTTGGAAGTTCTTTCTAATACCACAAGAATAGACGAAGCTTTGGGCCTTCGTGTGAATGAAGTTTTGGGCCTTTGAGTCCGTTTGAACGAAAATTGCTGGTCTTCTTCTTTTTCTTAATTTTTTTTTAAATACCAAAATTAGGAAGAAAATGGGGTAAAATTCACACACACACAGAGGTACATGGGTTTTTGAACCCAAAACCACTTGGAAACAAGCCGAAGACTTGGGAACGTCAAATGCAAAACTCAAATTTGAATAGAATGAGTTACGTCGTAATTTGGCATATTGCAGAACATTTCTCACCAGTCAAATTTATTCATTCTTTTTTCTTTTCTTTTTTATCTATATATATAAATATACAAAAAAAGAGAAGGTAGATTCCAAATTAGATATTATTCATACATTAATTGTTTTCATTTAATATTTTATGACTATTATTAACAATAGCTATACAGGCACCAACTCAAATCCCAATTTTTAGTTACCATGGCGTATTAATGTGGCAATACATGTCAACTGCCACGCCTATATATATATATTTTTTTTGGGCTTAAGAATTTACCATTCCATTAACCACATAACTGGACCTCTGTCTCCAACGATGTCGACGTCCCCGACATTGTCCGGACATAGCAACACCTTTTTCATAACATCGTCTCCTCCACCGTCACAATAACACCGTCATATTGGTGAATCTCATTTGATTTTGTTATTCAAATGGCTTATGCCGTCTTGATTTGCTCTTCCCAGGCCAGAATGTTATGTAACCTTCCTCTGGAAATTGGTTTTAATTTGTTCTTCAATGGGAGCAGTTTCTGGGTTGTCTAAATATTGATGATTGAAGAGATCCATGTCCATGTGGGTATACTGCAGACTTGCTGCAATCATCGGAAATGACTTCATAGCTTTTCTGGTTTAGATCGAAATTTATGTTGAGGGCCCATGAAAATTTCATCATATGACTTGTGAAACCAAATAATAAGTTCAATGTTTACGTTTGTAGTTCAATTCAATACATTTTGCCCTCTCCGTTGAGAGACGATGTTGTTGTGGGCATCGAGAGGGTCGATTGTTCTCATTCAATGCAGGATGGACGGTGGACCAATTCTGAGTGGTAAATGTGAAGGGCAAAACTATGCTCCTGGTAAAAATTCTATAGCTAAAATGACATGTACTGCCATCTTGCATTTCACATAAGTTGATATTTAAAAGTTGGTATTTAAGTTGGTGCCTCTAGTTGTTCACCCGTTTGATATTTGTTCCTGTTATGGTAGGGTAAAGTTCCTCATTGCCTTGAGAACCATTGACTGGTCAACAAGTCAACTTTCTTTAGTGTGCAAGCGTGCCACTGCTAGCAATGAAAAAATCCTAGCATACTTTAAAATAGATAACTTACGCCCCAAGCTACTGATTTCTAAACAAGCGGTTGTGAATTTGGGTGAGGAATATCTCTCAAGTAAGTTTTTTTCTTGCCTCAGACTGGTGAGGACTTCACAAGTTTTCACAATACAAGGTTGGTAGTTCTGGCCATAATAAATGATAAGAAAGTAAATTGTTTTCAGGCAGAACTCCCTATTACAAAACTTAAAAGGAAAAAACCAACTCTAGAAAGACAAAAAGAAGGCTGGACTTCCATTTATGCATTGATGGAAGCTTCTGATTCGGGCTGGACTGGGTATGTCTGTGTTGGACTGGACTGTCAACAACTTCACTTGCTAAGCTTCAGCTGTGAATCGATGCCAATGTTCGAGTTTGACAGAGCTTTAATCTATTTCAAGCCCTGGAAGGCTTTTGAACAGGCAGAATTGTGGCTTCTTCTGTCTGAAAGGGGCAGAAGTGGCTAGATTTGAGGATCACTGAGTTGGAACTACACTATGGTACATGTTCTGCTTGATCAGGGCTCTTGATAAATTTGTTGAGGTTTTCATATTTGTAAAAACCCAGACTCTGCTTGATTTGACTTTTGCTGAACCAAATTTGTAACGAGAGAAACCTCGTTTTGAATGACTTTTTCTCTAAGTCTAAAACTGGAAGTTTTGATTTGTATCTAGTTTCTTTCTTGTGGCTCAATGAGCTTTTGGTTGCTTCAATTTGTTTGAAAGTTCTTTGAGATCAAGTGATCATTTTGAGTTTTTGTCTTTGATTGATTTTTTTGGTTGTCCCCTTTGATTGTTCACTTTCTCTTATATTTATAAGAAACGTTTTTTGGAGTGGGGATTCTAATTCTTTTAATAATGGGCGGCAACAATTCTCAAAAGATCTTTCATTTTTAAATGCAAAGGAAAATGGGGTTTTATCAATTCTGGTAGATAAGCCCTCAATAGTCAGTTCCTAAGGCAATCACTTCCCTGTTTTTCTTGAAAGATAACCTAACCATTCTTCTAATTCAATTGCTTTTTGTAAGAGCTCAAACTTTGATGGTTAGTTTGATTTTCCGTTTGAACAACTCCTTGCTTTCTACTTATCTCAAAAACACAGTCTGCTTATCTCTTGAAAATTGTGCCTTTCTTTGGAGTAGAATTTTCTCTAAATATATAAAGGGATTTTGATCTTCCGGTGGCAGAGATTTCAGAGATGTCTTTTTCATACATGCCCTTATTAACTCTCTTATCAACCCAGTTGACAATGTTGACTTTTCAAAGTTTTTCCAAACAATCACGTGGGTCTGCCTCTAATTTATTGGGCTTTTCTTCTCTTTTAATCATACCAAGCCCAGTTTGAGTTTTCTGGAGCTATGGGCTAGTTTCTTTCTTTCTGTTTTCTGAAAGCCCAAGTTTATTGTCATGTTTTGACAGATTCTGGGCTAGGCTTTCTTGGATTTTGGGCCCTTGTTCCCGGTTTATTTGCAAAATCCAAATTGCTTGGATCCTTGTGGTTTGTTCTTGCTATTCTGGGCCTCCAATGTTGGGCTGAATGTGTAATCTTGGCCAATTTATTTAGGGTATGCTGGTGGCTGTCCAAAATTGATATGGGCTTTTGATTTTTCGGGCTGTGTGTGTCAAATTAGGCCCAAACACTAGTATTGTTGTATAATATAAAAGGGATATGAAAAGAGAAAGTTCTCGACCAATACATAAATGGAAGTTTGAATAAATTTAACACCAATAGGGTGTTCATTGGATTAGCTCATGTCTTTGGTGTGCTTACAAGTGGTCCTAAGTTCAAACTCCACGGTACTCGTGTGTGTGAGTTTCACCCCTCTCCTTCCTAACTTAGGCAATATATATATATATATATATATATATATATATATATATATATTAAGAGACTTTGAATAACAGACTAAATTTGAAAGTCATGTAGGAACAGTGGAGTGACCATAGAGAATAGAGATATTTAGTCATATACCTATTCTTAGCATTAAAACTATAAATAAATCATACACTATTTAATTTCTATAAACAAACCTAAAAAAAACCCAAAAAAATGAAAGCTGACCCTATTGAATTTAATTTTAATTATTAAATTACTTTGATGCCCTATTGAATGATTTGGGCTTTTTTATGAGATTTTGGGATTGGGTTTGTTTTAAGAAATCAATGACAATTTTGTAATTTAAAAGAAGTTAAACGCCTTTTTGTTATTTTGTAAATGGGCGTTGGGTGTGTTTTTAAAGTCTATTTCATATGAGGTTTTTTTATAATTTGAGCTCCTATATTGAGTATAATAGTGAATCTCCCGAATAGAATATGGGCACGTCTAGAAGAGGACTGTGTATGTGTGTGTGTGTATATATATATCAACAGTAAATATGCGTAGGACCTAATTAAGAAGTGTAAACAACATATATAAAAGAAGAAATATGCCAAAACTTACGTTGTCTCTGGCTTACAAAAAGACTTTATCTCAATTCCAAGAATGTGGACTACCGGAGAGCTCTTGAATAAGCATGATATACCTGGGATGTGAGATTTGCCCCAACTGGTATCAATTTGTAAGCTCTTGAGGTTTATAAATGAACATGGCAGACCACCGAATTTAAAATATCTTTTTGATAAAATCATCAGACAGTGTAAGAATTGTTACAAAATGTGCGGCTGCTAATTCTTTTATATAGAGTCAAAGAAATCCTAGGGCGAAGCATATTCTTTATCCTTTCTCAAAGATGCTTGCTGAGCTGCTGCCAGATTAGTGCTGGGTGTGCTGATCACTCTCAAGATTAACATAGGTGTGTTGAGTAATGTGTTATTAATGTCGATCTTTACCAAATTAAAATTGTGTGTATCCAAAACAAGTTAGTAGATTAAAGAAAACAGATAGGTAAACTCACCTCAAAAAATTTCAAAGGATAACCTAAGGTTTTGAACTAGGGAGATTGCGGAGAAAAAGATTTACTGTACTACGAATCTTAATTCCTTTGACTGTGAACGGATAATATATGTCAGCTTTCCGGAGCCTCTGGATCAAACATTTCCTAGCGAAGTTGTTACTTGCCCAATAAAAACTTAGTAGACTGGGAGCAAAAATGTTAAAACAGTATTCTCCGAAACACTGGGTGAATTTGAAGGTCTCTAGTCTCATTCCAGATATGTCTACGCTATTCATCTTGATGCTGCAAACTTGTAGATCTTTGAGGTTTTGGACAACAAATTTCGAGATGAGGCTTTCCAACACAAGAGTGTATAGTCACTTTCCCAAGGAAAGGGAACGAAGAATCCGAAAATAAATCACCATCCGATAAATCCACGCCAGTTAGTGGTTATCATGTGCAGACCCTACTGGGACCAATGTGGTTGTCCAGCTCTAATTCATTTGAACAACAAGCAGCAATTTCCTCGTTATCCACTTTGATGTCCATTGCAGCTGGAGAAACCTATGTGGAGTTTGAAAAGGTCATTTGCTTATGTATATCTCAGTTTCGATGGATGTTTATTTATTTAGGCCGGTGGGAACAATTTAATGAATGCTTACTGGAACTCATTCTTTGTGGCAGCACTTGGAAAGTCTTCTGTACCGTTATTCACATGATACACTTTCAGAAAATGTTCAGGTAACATGCCCTTTATTCTAGATGTGTTTATTTGTTCTAGAAAATGTTCACATGTCCTTTATTCTAGAAAATGTTCACATGTACCGTTATTCACATGCCCTTTAATACCATGATGTTCCTGAATCTTCCAGTTCTCTATTCTAGATGTGTTCATTTGTTCTAGATGCTCGCAAAAGATAGGGTACGTATATTAATTGTTATGTTTTAAATTTTCATGAATCTTCAGGTTTTCTTGGACTGTAACAGGATCTATGGAGATTTAAATTTTCCTGATAAGTGTGCTCCATTTACGTTTTGTATTTGTTTACGATATATTAGTTCACTAATTGTTATTTTTGTTCTGTAACTTGTTTCAAATTTTTTCCCACTTATGTTATTTCAGATTTTTCATACTCCTGAAGGCTTGCTTTCGAGTGAGCAAGGTGTCTTATATTCCATATTTAAAGAGTACTCATTAAAGAGTTCGGTACCAATCAGTTTCTCATATTTTTGGGATGTATGAGGATGCCACGGTACCAATCAGTTTCTCTTATATTCCATATTTAAAGAGTCCGGCAGTGCCGCTATACCTGGTATCGCCGCCCGGCTATACGTTTAAATATATTAGAATGTTTAAATAGCACAGACAACCGGCTATACGCTGGTAATATATTCGAATATTTAAATAGTATAGCCATGTGGCTAATAGTATAGCCGCGCGGCTATACGGTTTAAATATATTATAATATTTAAATTGTACAGCCCAACGGCTATACTCTTAATATATTCGAATATTTAAATAGTATAGCCGCTCGGGTATACTGTTTATATATACTCGCATTTTTTTAAGTTTAAAATTTGTAATTATAAAATATCTTAGCCTTATTTAATTACTTTAATTACAAATTATATTTCAATTATTATTTATTTAGTGAATAATTACTATTTTAATATTTTAATTATTCCATATATAGTAATTAATTCTTTTAAATTATTTTTGGACTTTAAAAAAAAATTCGTACAAATTGGTTTATTTGTGTAATATTTGTAATTAAGTAATATCTTAGTCTCATTTAATTCCTTTGATTAGTAATTTGTTTTTAGTTATTATTTCTATAGTGAATAATTAGTATTTAAATATTTTAATTAATTTTAGAAATTGATTAATAAATAGTATTTAATTCTTTTGAATTCTTTTATGGACTTGAAAAACTATTTTTTATTTTCAAAGTATTTTTAAAATAATTTCTATTATTTAAAAATCCTAGAAAATTCTTTTAAATACCCAAAAATATTGTAAAAACTATTTTAGTATTCCAAAATTTGATTTTAGCCTCCAAACGTGAAATTCAAGTCTCGAATCAAAGAAAAAAAACCATATCAATTGCTTATTAATATTCAAAAGTACAACAAAACAAAATAATAATCATCTATGTCTATGTGTTTAAAAAATTAGTGTATGACCATGACCCTTCGAGATGAGTAGATGCCCGAGGAAATAACGTAGCAAGTTGATCATGGACCTTGGAGTGCCAAGAAGAAATGACAAATTTTTGCAGGGCTCTTCCATGTTGAAGCAAAAACCTCACTACGTTAATCACACTTTCATGTATCGCATTTGTCCAAACCACAATATTCACCACCTTTAGGTGACATAGGAAGGAGCTCAAACTTTGAGCTTGATTTTCCCAGCCAGCAGGTGGGCTATGGATATCACGGCCAGCGGTTATCGTAATTGTGAGATTTCGGACTGCAGGAGAGCTCCTGAAAATGCAAGCTATACCGGGGATATCAGCTTTTCTCAAATCAGTATAAATTTGCAAGGTCTTGAGGTTCATAAATGCATATGGTAGACCATCGAATTCAAGATATATTTTCGACAAAATCTCAAGAATGCGATAGGACAAACAAAGGCTCCCAACTTGGGACAGTGAGGAAAGAAGATTGGCTGCGCTTTGAGCCTTCACTTCGCTAACGTTGGCTGGTAGCACACAAGAACTAATCTCACCTTCCATGAGCTGTGGAAAGCTCTGAATCAAACACTTCTCGGCAAAGTCGTTGTCGTTCCAACAAAAAGTTTGTAGATTGGGAGCCAAAATCTTAACACTACTTCCCTTGCCACATCCGTTGAAACAGAGTTTGACTGTCAACTTCTCTAGTTTCATTCCAGATATGTCCAGGCTTTTTACATCCATACTGCAAACTTCTATGCATTTGAGGTTGGCACAGCATATTTTGAGACGGCTGATTCTTCTACAATGATCTACAGTCAATTTCTCAAGGGAAGGGAACGAAGAAGGATCTGAAAATAACACGTTGCCCGCGAAATCCACTCCAGTTAAAGACAGAGAGCGAAGGCCGCTAGTAGCCCGAGCACAAGAAGATGGAAGCCAAAACCGGGTGTCGGGATTGTTAATTAGGAGGCAATGTTCAGAACGAGTGGCTTCCAATGTGAGGCTCCTCAGTGAGTTACACTCAAATAGAGAGCAAGGCAAGTCAAGCGAGTGAACCAACCAGACATCGAGAACAAGTTTTTCAACCCTATGCTTCACCAGACAAGGAACCCAATCAAGCAACCAACTAGGGTTCATATAACCAGCATACTCAAAAACCTCTATCTTAGAGTTTTCATGGCGGCCAGACAATACTTTGGAAATGCCATTAACTACTTTGCTATGCCGGTCATAAACTTCCCCAACCGTAGCTGGTTTTTTTCCAAATCGCAGCCCTGTCAGACGACAAGCTTTGGAGAAGTCGAGAATTGGACAGGAATCCCATAGTTTTCTCCATCTTTTAGATAAAGTACTTGTACGTGCAGCAGATTTAATGGGTAAGAAGGAGAGTGTGTGGTGCAAGACATCATCTGGAAGATCACTGAGCCTGTCCTTGATTTTCTCATTGTGTTTGTTTTCTTGCTCCATAAGAAGCCTTCTCTTCTTTGCAGCTCTGGTTTCCATGGTTTGGGTAAGGTGTCAGAATAAGATACGAAGAGACCCGATATATATATATAAAGACGGCAACTTCTTTTTATATTTCCTTTTTGCTTGAGGAAAGTTTTTTCTTTTTTTCTTTTTTTGTTGGGATCAACAAGGAATTGGAAGGATAGAGAAGTTTGGGCCGCACATGTAATTTTTGTTAATGAAGAAATAAGACGGATGATAATCCGTAAACAAAATCCAAACATAATATTGATATTCGTAATAATCATCTAATTTTAAACCCAGTTTCAGAAAAACAAGAAACCTTGGAATGAGCCAATGGATTCCCCATGCAATTTTAAACCCTAATCCCCATTTAGCTCAGACTCTATAATACTCAGTACTGAGAAGGAGAGGTCCGGTGAGCACTTCCAACCTTGTGAACCCTTTCTATATAAAACCACTGGAGGAAGTGACCTCTCAACAACTTTTCTGTTCTCAACTTGGACGGGAACAAACACAATCTTTTCTAGGACAACTCCTTGCCCGATCAACATTTTCATAAAATTGAATTCATCTTCTGTTCCAGTATACGCGTTCATTGTAACTTGCTTAAGACTTGGAATGCTCAATTCAACTGGTTTATTTAGCAACTCTTCTGATAAACTCTCCTGGAAATTAGAAGATCAAATGTTAGATATGCAGCCTGGAACAACAAAAAGAGTGATAAACATAAGTAATACAGAAACATCAAGAATTGCTATTATTAAGTATGTGGTACTCACATCTGCCCTTTTCTTGAAAAGGTATTCTAGACACATTGTCTCGAGATTGGGGCAAAGTTTAAGCAGTGCAGCCATGCCAACCAGATCATATTGGGTAAATCCTGTTCGCAGCTCTAAGAGGTTGAGATTGTGGAGCATAAAACTTTTGGGGAAAGAATCCTCCTTTGATGTCAGAAACTAAGGGCATATGAATAAGAGACAGTTATTAATATTAGATGATCTTCAATAACATAATATCTTTGGAAACCAGTGGTCATACGTAGGGAAAAAAGCCAAAAGAGGTTAATCAGTAAAAAGTGAAATTCAAAAAATCCCCGAGTTCGCAGAGGTTAAGCCAAAGAGATTAGCCATCTATGAATGAAATGCTGTACATCAAGGAGTTGGACAGAGTTAGAAAGTGACTAAAGCATGTCTAGCACAGAATCACATGGCTGGTTACAACATGCTAAGATTTTACTTCCACTGAGGCTTTTTTATGATAGGAGTTCCCAGGGATACCCTTGAAGCCACAACATCAAGGAGAGACAACTAACTCTGCACAATGACATGGTTAATCATCAATTAATCCTGCTTATTAGAACGAGTGATCATCAAGGCAGAACCTGTTTTTGACTTTTCGAATAAGAAACAACAGACAGGACCTTTTTTTGGTAGCTGGTTTTACAATATTGGCATTTATACCATTCTCAATGAGAACTCAATACCTGTTACGAAAGTTTAATAACTTATTGCCGTAAAAGAAATGTGGTACAATCCAAAGAACAAATGGAACTTTACTTTTCTTGACAAATTCACCTATCATATCATGTCAGTATGCCAGCTAAAAAACTGTAAATGCAGGATATTTAGTTTTAATAAACATTGCAATTTAACGACACAAATGTAATCCTTACTGAATACTAACCTTCCTTTTACAAAGAAAAAACAAAAACAAAAACGATATTGGCTCAGTAAATGCTAAGCTGTATTATCTAACTCCCAAAGGTTTGTTGCATTGAATTGTCCACAAATCTAGTTTGTTAGTGATCGAACATAGAGTCCATAAACAACCATGTTATTTTCCTGTACTGTCCCTCGACCACTTCTTTCCTGAGACACCAATCCATGACCAATTTGTATAAATTAGGCACTGATAATTTCCTCTATCTAGGCTGATGCTGAAAAATGAGCAGACCTCAACAACTAATTACCCTTTCCCATCTTTCTTTCAACTCCAAGACTCAGTGACATTGATAGACCAAATTTAGCAAATCTGGGAGAAGCCTTCCACATAACCAGAACACTAATCCCAATGTTGCAAATTCCTCAAACTTCTGGCATAATTCCCACTATACAAAAAATAATGAAACAACTTAAAGTTAAACAAAATCATCATACAGAAAACAATGATTGATCAGAACACAGGTCAAGAAAATTACCTTAAACCACCAATTTTGCACATTAAAATGCTTAACATTAGGTGCTTGTAATAGTAGCCTTACAACCTTGCTCCAGTAACGATAGGACCGATAAATTAGGTGCACTATATCAACATGAAACTCAACCAGGGACGACGAATTCTTAAGTATAAACTTGTCAAATGCACAGCAATCAAAACTGATCGAGAAGAGGTTTGGGCAATCAATCACAAGCGTCTCTTGGATTTCAGAATCATAAAAATACCCAAGTACCAGCTTCTTAAGCCTTGTGCTACATATCTTCAAATGATGATGCCCCCAACAGTTCTGAAGCTCCAAAGCCTCCAAATTGGGGCAACCCAAAATCAAATCACTCATTATCTGGTCCGTCAAATAAACCCGATCGAGATACATGGACCCAATCGAGCAAAAACGCATAGTGGACATTTTAGCCGGCAATGTAAGATCACATCTTGTAAGGCCCAATTTTTCAACAAACCCATTTCTCAGAACAGAGAAAGGGAAATCATACCGGTGATTAAATGTGTCCTCGTCATGAAAATCTTTGTGGATGAAGAAGTCAAGATGGAGCTCAAGAGCGTGGAGGTGGGTTATGGCGGAGCGAACCCAAGAGTCGACATGGGAGCCGTAGTGATCATGGTAGATGAAGGAGAGGCGGAAAGTGTGGATGGGAGAATTGGAGCGAAGAATGAGAATGCGATCGATGAACTCGGCGAAGAATTGGCGGGTATCCAACGGTGGCTCGTATGAAGGAAAGAGTTCGAAGGGGAAGTTCAAGGAGGGAACACGAGACCAGATGGGTCGCCATTTCTGGGATATGAGAGAGGTTTGGATGGAGTCTAATGTGGGAAGGAAGGTGAGGATGCGGAGGAGGAGCTCCTCTGGGAGATCGTTTAGGTTTTCATTGCTTGCCTCGCCCATGTTCTTCGATTCTAGAGGTATTGCTTCTTTTTTGTTCCCTTTTTTTCTTCAAACATTAAATTCATATATTCGTTTTATTCTTTAATTTAGGTCTTTATCTCTTTTCTTTTATATATAAGCAATAATGTATTTTAAATTAATCTCATTTAGAAATAAGGGATTCAAACTTGAATATACAGAGGCGAACTCTCTTCTCTGGTCAACTAGTTCAACTCACTTTTGATGAATATTTATCTCTTTAAGATAAAATAATTGTGTTTTAAAAATTTTCTTAATGAGGATAATATTATCGAATATTTAGCTTTTTCCTTTATAGAAAATGTTTTGCCAAGGGTTCCGGATCCTCCCCCTATTCAATATCCTCATTATATATACAGTGCCGTGTGTCCATTAGATTATAAAATCTTGTCAACAATAATTTTTAGGACTTTTGTCTTTCTTCAATTTCAACTGCGTTTTGGCACGGATCGTCTCATAATCTAGATGGGATTGTTAATCTCCTATGCAAGGGTTCAAGTCGGGCACCAAACCTTTTTTAAAATTACGCTATTGTACATATCTTTCCCGTTTGGGTCTCATAATTTTCTTGCTATCTAGTGTACTCTTTTAGGATGTTCTATTTATAAAGCATCTGCTTCAAAACAAAAAATCTCCTATTCAGGTGTACGAGAAAGGAGTGCATTGTTTGGGAATACGTCAATCAACTCTAATATTAGAAGAGATTTCAAGTTCGATTCCAATCAAGAAACTTAACAAAAGAAAGAACTCCCATGCAAGGACAAAATAGAGAATTAAAAAGAAAGATTTGCTTTTAAAAAAATTCACAGATGCTGATATGTGAACGTACTTGCACCAAAATGCTGACTTGTACAGAGGTCAAAGAACCACAATCAAAATAGGAAAAAAGTTGGTGGCGAGGGATGGTGCCCCACAGAATCTACAGCTGCCAAGTCAAGTACAAACCTGACATTTTTACAGTGTAGTTCCTTTGAAGAAAACCTTAGTTACAAACAGATTATCCCGGAAAATAATGTTATGCCATGCGGAAGTGTTATCACGTATATCATAGTGTTATTAGCCGAGAATGGCAAAACAGTGATTCCATGTAAATTCTACATGGCCAAATGATTCCATGTAAATTCTACAAGGCCAAATGATTTCATGGCAGACTTCCACATTCAAAAAACAAGACAACTTTCAAAGAGCCAATTGATTCCCTGTTTAAAAATCTCAGAGTCTATATGATTCAGTGTCGTGAGGGAGAGATCTGGTGCGTAGCACTTCCAACTTTGTGAAGCATTCCTATATAGAACCATTTGAAGACGTGACTTTGCGCCAACATGGCCAAGGACAAGTATAATCTTTTCTAGGGCAACTCCTTGCGTACTCAAGATTTTCATAAAATTAATTTCATCTTCTGTTCCAGTATAAGATGTCACCGTAACTTGCTTGAGACTTGGCATGCTCAATTCAACTGGTTTACTTGAGAACTGTTCTGATAACGTCTCCTAGAGATTAGAAGATCAAAGTTCAGATACGGAGCACGGAACAGAAAAGAAAAAGACAAAACATTAGTATAGAAACATCTAGAATTGCTGTAATTATGTATGTAAAAGTACTCACATCTTCCTCTATCTTGAAAAGGTAGTCCAGCATCATTGTCTCGAGATTGGGACAAAGCTTAAGCAGTGCAGCCATGCCAACCAGATCATATTGGGTAAACCCCGTCCGTAGCTCTAAGTGGTTGAGATTGTGGATCATAAAACTTTTGGGGAAAGAATCCTTTGATGTCAGAAACTGAGGGCATATGCACAGAAAACAATTAAGAATATGGAAGAGGTTCAATAACATAATGCTCTCAGAAAGCAGTGGTCATACGTAGGGAAAAATTCCAAAGAGGTTAAGCAGCAAAAAATGAAAAATTTCACAGAGGTTAAGCCAAAGACGTTGGCCATGAACGAAATGTTGCTCATCAATGAAGTGGACAGAGTTAGAAAGTGAATAAAGCATGTCTGGGACAGAATCACAATGGCTGATCAGTGAGACATGCTACCAGATTTCATTTCAAGTGAGACTCTTTTCCGATAAGAGTTCCCAGGGATACGCTGCTCCCTACCCCCTTTCCATCTGGCTAGACTAAACCCTGCAATAATGAGCAGACCTCAACAACTAATTACCCTTTCCATCTTTCTTTCGACTCCAAGATTAAATGACAAGCTAAGAATTCTTAGCTTCTTTCATGTTCTCATCTCTTTCAATTCCAAGAAGACAAAGTCTTATTGAAAAATACACGGCTATATCACCAAGTCCAAAATACACCCTATCTATGAGAAGCCATCCACATAATCAGAATACCAACCACATTACTACATATTCCTCAAACTTTTTGGCATACTTTCCACATACAAAAAAGAACAAAATCACCAATTCAGAAATTAACCAAAATCGAAACAGAAATACGATAACTGACCAGAACAAAAATCAGAAAATTACCTTAAACCACCAATTCTGCACATTAAGATGCTTAACATTAGGTGCTTGTCCTAGTAGCCTCACAACCTTGTTCCAATAACGATAGGACCGATCGATTTTGTGCAAAATATCGACATGAAACTCAACCAGGGACCACGCATTCTTAAGTACAAATTTGTCAAAGGCACAACAATTAAAACTGATCGAACAAAGGTTTGGGCAATCAACCAAAATGGTCTCTTTGAGTTCAGAATCATAAAAATACCTAAGTGCTAGCCTCTTAAGCTTTGTGCTACATATCTTCATATGATGATGCGCCAAACAGTTCTCAAGATCCAAAGCCTCCAAATTGGGGCAACCTGAAATCAAATCCCGCATTGCCTGGTCCGTCAAATAAACCTCATTGAGAAACATGGACCCAATCGAGCAAAAACGCAGCGTGGACATTTTAGCCGGCAACGTAAGATCACATCGCGTAAGGCCTAAGATTGCTACGCACCCATTTCTCAGAACAGAGAAAGGGAAATCATACCTGTGATTATGAGTTTCTTCGTTATGAAAATCTTTGTGGATGAAGAAGTCGAGATAGAGCTCACGTGTGCGAAGGCGGGTTATGGCGGATCGAACCCAAGAGTCAACATGAGAGCGGTAGTGACCATGGTAGATGAAAGAGAGGCGAAAAGTGTGGATGGGAGAATTGGAGCGAAGAATAAGAACGCGGTCGATGAATTCGGCGAAGAACTGGCGAGTATCTAAGGGTGGCTCATATGGCGGGAAGAGTTCGAAGAGGAAGTTCAAGGAGGGAACACGAGACCAGAGGGATCTCCATTTCTGGGATATGAGAGAGGTTTGGACCGATTCTAATATGGGAAGACAGGTGAGGATGTGGAGGAGGAGCTCCTCTGGGAGATCGTTTAGGTTTCGATTGGTAACGGTGGCGCTTGGGTTTTGGTTGCTTGCCTCTTCCATTTCCTCCATATTCTAGGGCTTGGGTTTCTTTGCATGTCTAGGACATAATAAATGAAGAAGCATCCTGATCAGAAAACATGGAAGTTTGGGGAAACAAAAACAAAGGGAGCTGATTTCGGGCACTCATCCGCAATCTTACTACTTAGTTTTTTTGTTAAAATTTAGAGATATTTAATTATATATCCATTTTTAGAACTAATGATATAAATAAATTCTACATCATTTAATTTCTATAAATAAATCCAAAAAATGATAATTGGTCATATTGAATATAATTTTAATTATTAAATTACTTTAATGTCCTATTGACTTTTTTAGATTTTTTTATAAGGTTTTGGGGTTAGATTTATTTGAAGAAATTGATCGCAGTTTTATAATTTATAAGAAGTTAAAAACTTCATTGTTATATTATAAATGGAATTTGGGGTGTGTTTTTAAAATCCATTTCATATAAGTTTTTTTTTTATAATTTGGGCTCCTATAGTTGGTATAATAGTGAATCTCTAACTAAAAATACAAAAAAATAAAGGGAACTCTAAGGAGGCTTTTGATATCCTATTCAAATAGGGAATTCAAAAACTTTGATTTTTCTTTAAAACAATGAGTTTTTAAAATCTATTTTTTAGATTCAAAAACTTGTTTACCATTCAACTTGAAAACTGTTTTCAAATCTTAAAATTTTGAGAATTTATGGGTTATTAGAAAAAAAAGATATTTTTTGTTTTTAATAATTGAGGTTTTTTTTTGTTGTTTTGGACTCAAATTATGTATTTTAGTTTAAAAAATTGAATTCAAGTTGGATACCAAGACCAAGCCTACAAAGATTGAAGGTCATGAAACCCAAGTGGGTCCCACGAGAAAAAACAGCGAATCACATGCAGCCACAAAATCCTTTCTCTATCCCCTTTATTCTTTTAATACCATTAAAAAGTTGTTGCCGCTAAAAAATATGGGTCATATTGGGCCCACGGGTTTACAAGCCGATAGGTCAGCCTGGCCCATTTTTCAGTGTGCTAAGCTTGGGCTTAGGTGTCCAAAGACTAGCCCACCCACCCATAAAAACCCGGTCCGCAAGCCCATATAAAATAACACTTGAGTTTAAAATTAAAAAAATATGAATATCAATCATTGAATTTTGTTTTGTTTTATATGAATAGAAGTATGGGGAGTTAATTTCCTAACAAGACAAGGATGGAAGCTTTGGGCCTTTACGCCCCTTAACACAAGAAGAAACATTCTACTCTACTAAACATGCAGTGTTTTTAATGAAGAAATAGGGCGGAAGATAATCCGTAAAACAAATCCAAACATATCTGCAACAATCATCTAATTTTAAACCTATTTTCAGAAAAACAAAAAACAAGAAACCTTGGAATGAGCCAATGGATTCCCCATCTAAAGCTCAGAGTCTATACCATGCGGTGTTGCGGAGTGCAGGGCCCATGAGCACTTCCAACCTTGTGAACCCTCTCTATATAGAACCACTAGAGGAAGCGACCTCTCACCAATTTGTCCCTCCTCGCCAACTTGGGTGCGAGCAAGCACAATCTTTTGTAGGGCAACTCCTTGCCCAATCAAGATTTTCAAAAAATTAAGTTCATCTTCTGTTGCGTTATACGCTTTCATTGTAACTTGCTTGAGATTTGGCATGCTCAAGTTAACTGGTTTATTTAGTAACTCTTCTGATAACCTATCCTGGAAATTAGACGATCAAATTTTAAATATGATGCATGGAATATGAAGGAGAATGATAAATATAAAGTAATACGGAAACATAAGATAAAGTATGTAGTACTCACATCTTCCCCTATCTTGAAAAGGTATTGTAGAATCATTGTCTCGAGATTGGGACAAAGTTTAAGCAATGCAGCCATGCCAACCAGATCATATTGTGTAAATCCCGTTCTCAACTCTAGGAGGTTGACATTGTGGAGCATAAAACTTTTGGGGAAAGGATCCTTTGAGGTCAGAAACTGAGGGCATATGCACAGAAAACAACTATCAATATTAGAAGATGTTCAATTACATAATACCTCTAGAAACCAGTGCTCATACATAGTGAAAAAAGCAAGAAAAGGTTGACTAGTAAAAAGTCAAATTTGAAAATCCCCGAGTTTGCAGAGGTTAAGCCAAAGAGATTGGCCATCTATGAATAAAATGTTGCACATCACTGATTTTGACAGAGTTAGGAAGTGAAAGCGTGTCTAGCACAGACACACTTGGCTGGTCACTGAGACATGCTACCAGATTTCATTTCCAGTGAGACTCTTATATGATAAGAGTTCCCAGGGATACCCTTGAAGCCACAACATCAAGGCGAGACAAGTCAGCACGATGGCATGGTTAATCATCAATTAATCCTGCTTCTTAGAACGAGCGATCATCAAGGAAGAACCTGTTTTTGTCTTTTCAGATAAGAAAAAACAGACATGACCTTTTCTTGGTAGCTGATTTTCTCAAAACAATTTTGTAAAATGTCACTAAGTTACAAGATCGCATTTATACCTGTCTGAATGAGAAATCTACCGATTATGAAAGTTTAGCAACTTATTGCACTACAAGCAAGCTGCAGAAACGTAAAATGCAGAATATCCAGTTTAAATCTTACTGAATACTAGCCTTCCTTTATTTGAAAAAACAAAACAGAAAACAATATTGGCACAGGAAATGCATTTTTGCACTAAATTGTCCCCATGGTTAGTGATCGAACATACTACAGTCCACAAGCAACTATGCTATTTTCCTGTATTATTCAGTCCCTCTACCACTTCTTTCTTGGGAGACCAATCCATGACCAATTTGTATAAACTAGGCACTGATCATTTCCTCTGTCTAAGCATAAGGCTTGAAAAATTAGCAGACGTCAACAGCTAATTATCCTTTCCTCATCTTTCTTTCGACTACAAGACTCAATGACAAGCCTTCAACTTCAATGAAAAGCTAAAAAGCCTTACTTCCTCTCATGTTGTTAGCTATTTTAACTACTAGAAAATACAGTATCATTAAAAAAATACACACAGCTATATCTACAAGATTGATAAAGGACCAAGACTTCTGCATATCCCTAAATCACATAATCAGAACACTAATCACATTGTTGCATATTCCTCAAACTTCTGGCATAATTCCCACATACAAAAAAGAATGAAAAAACAAACAAAATCATCATACAGTAAACAATGATTGATCAGAACACGGGTCAAGACAATTACCTTAAACCACCAATTTTGCACATTAAGATGCTTAACATTAGGTGCTTGTCCTAGTAGTCTCACAACCTTGCTCCAATAACAATAGGACCCATCGATTAGGTGCACAATATCAACATGAAACTCAACCAGGGACGACGCATTCTTAAGTACAAACTTGTCAAAGGCACAGCAATCAAAACTGATCGAAAAAAGGTTTGGGCAATCAATCACAAGCGTCTCTTGGAGTTCAGAATCATAAAAATACCCAAGTACTAGCTTCTGAAGCCTTGTGCTACATATCTTCAAATGATGATGCCCCCAACAGTTTTGAAGCTCCAAAGCCTCCAAATTGGGGCAACCCAAAATCAAATCACTCATTATCTGGTCCGTCAAATAAACCTGATCGAGATACATGGACCCAATCGAGCAAAAACGCATAGTGGACATTTTGGCCGGCAATGTAAGATCACATCGCGTAACGCATAAGTTTTCAACATACCCATTTCTTAGAACAGAGAAAGGGAAATCATACTTGTGATTTAGGGTTTCCTCATCATGAAAATCTTTGTGGATGAAGAAGTCGAGATGGAGCTCACGGGCGTGGAGGTGGGTTATGGCGGAGCGAACCCAGGAATCGACATGGGAGCCGTAGTGATCATGATAGATGAAGGAGAGGCGGAAAGTGTGGATGGGAGAATTGGAGCGAAGAATGAGAACGCGATCGATGAATTCGGCGAAGAATTGGCGGGTATCCAAGGGTGGCTCGTATGAAGGGAAAAGCTCGAAAGGTAAGTTCAAGGAGGGAACACGACACCAGAGTGGTCGCCATTTCTGGGATATGAGAGAGGTTTGGATGGAATCTAATGTGGGAAGGAAGGTGAGGATGCGGAGGAGGAGCTCCTCTGGGAGATCATTTATGTTTTGATTGCTTGCTTCTTCCATGTTCTTCGATTCTAGAGATGTCTTGCTTCTTTTTTCTGGTTTTTTTCTTGGACTGATTTCTGATTCATTTTTTTTTTTTTTTTTTTTTTTTTTTTTTTAATATCCCGGAGAATTTTATGGGACATTTTAACACTCTTATTTTCGTTTTATTTTTTAATTTTGTTTATTTAAATAACTTATTATTTTACGAATTTATCTCTTTAAGCAAAATGATTTTGTGTTTTGATATTTTTCTTAAACGATGATAATCTTTTTCTCCTTTCCGTATTTATCTCTTCTGCGCTTGCAAGATGGCTCTTTTCAATCAACTTAAAAATCTTTCTATTCTTTTTTTATTTTTTGTTGAAATGGTGGGGTTAACCCCTAAACAAATCTTTCTATTCTTTTATGTCTTTTAATTTGTTCGTTGGTTTTCTTTCTTACTTGGTCCCTCACAATGCAGCGTAGGTAGTGTTTCACAGTCATATTGTCGAATGTGTCTTTTGCTGTTTCACACGCATAGATGGTTGGTTTCTTTTTGGGGCAGAAGTCTGTAGGGTGACCTACTTTTCTGATATGTTTCCGTCGCAATTTTGGTGTTCTCCTGGTGAATAGCCTTTGCCAGAGCAGTTGCGACAATTGAGCAGTTACTGGCGGTTTGGCGCGATCTACAAAACCATATCAGTTTGTTTTGTTGGTTTGCTGGTTTTTTAACTTCTCTCCTTTATTTTTCTAATTTTCCGTACTTTTCTTTTGTGTAGGGTGATTGTTGATATTCCTCGTCGGCAGTCACTGGCAATGTTGTTTTGGTGCGTTGATTGAAAAGGTATAAAAGATTCCTTTTTTTTTTTTCTTCTTTTTTTTTCCATGTGTTTGGTTCAAACTGCAATTTTTTTT